CTTACAACATTCATCTTGGCGATTTCTTCAAGCCAAACCAAGGCAGAGTTGCTCCGGCAATACCTGAAAACATTGCTTTTGCAATGCAAGATAACTGTTAAACCCTGACATAGCATCACAACAAGTGTTATGTAGAGATTTTTACCACACCAGTTTCAAATTATACTTAAATATATATATTGTGAAAAGCTTATACAAAATGTTTGATTTTTTATAAAATTTGAACATCTAACAGGGCATAAACAAATGTTATTTAATGTTTGAAAAAAATCTTCTGTTTGAAAAAAATTATGTTCCATATGCAAAAGACATGGCAACAAAAAGATCTATTTCAAACCCTTCTTTGGAATGGTACAGTAATGCTATAGACAATTTTGATATTAAACTATGATTGCATTAAGTAAGTCCATTTGTTGCAATTACCACTATGTTATGTAATTTATATATACTTCTGTATGAAGTGATATTAAATAGACAGGGGAAATCATATCAAAATATTATATTCCATATAATTTGTAATTTGTAAACTCACCAACTGTTTATTGTAAATGAACCAAAGAATAAACTGGAACAAGTTCAATATAAAATAACAACTAGAAATTACGTCAAGGCGCATCGATTGATGGTATGCTTGTTCTAAAAAAAGTTGAAAAAAACGTGCCATTTTGGCACAAAGTTGAAAATGGGCCATTTTTGGACGTTTTTGCCCATATCTCTGCTTGTATAGATGGTACCTTGGCTTGCAATAGCTGATAGAAAAGGGCGTGTCTAGACAGTCAGTTTTATGTATTGGGTTCAGGATTTGGGCGTGGCTGTGACGTCAGACCTACGTCACAATGGCGAATTTAGGCCCATTTTCAAAAATTCATTTCTTATTTGTGAAACAAGTGTTAGTGTGGGTAATATGTGGAAAAAATCGGTAAATTAGTGTTCTTTCACGGTAGGGAGAGTAATGTATGGTACCTGTCACAGTTGTTCCAGAATTGGCACATTTGTAATGGCCGGTATTTGAAAAACGTTTAGGCCCATAACTTCCGTCATACATGAGGTACCTCGGATATTATTGCAGCAAACGAAAATCTCGTCGAGACAAATCGATTGGTGGTATTGGTTTTGGGTTTACACTTAGTAATGACGTCACTACGACCGGCTGAAGTTTTGGCACTTTTCAATACTGTATTCTATATAGTTACTATACAGTTCCTATATAGTATATAGGTTATACAGTATATAGTGCATTTCCTATAGGCTTTTCCTATACATTTAGGCCCATTTTTTCCTATACTTTCCAAGCTTTACTCCCGTAACTCGGGAAGTATAAAGAGTAAATTAGGGGCTCACCCTTTAAACCCTTTAAAATGAGCAAGGGCTCATTTTAAAGGGTTTTACAAATGTAATCTGCTGGTTTGAATATTTACTAGATTGGGTGTGGCTGTGATGTCATTGTGACGTCATGGTTTTAATTTTATTAAAAGAAATTAAAAATTAAATGTTTTACATCAAAATTTATTGAATCAGATGAAAGATCTCATTGATGCGATTCGAATGGTGGTATTGGTTAGCGTGTAGCGATAAAGGTTTAATTTTTTAAAGGGCCACTCCAGCCCAAAATTTTTATTTCAGAACACGATGTAATCAGACCTCCTGAAAACGAATCTGTTATTATTTTTTTCATATCTCTAACCGTTTTGTAGTTATTAGCGTTTGTAAAATGGTCATTGAGTTGAATTGTTTTTCAACCGTGTTATCGGAGATCTCCGGATTGACGTCACAAGCATTTTCGGCCTCGGTAAGTTCGCGGCAAGTATCATCGGCTGTCCAAAGGGTCAACGAGAACCTAGCGAAATGGCAGACAGGGCCTAGCAGCGGCATGTTTGTTAGTAGGCCAGACTTTTATCTGGAATCGATATAAAGAGAGAAGTATCGCTCATCAGTCATAAGTTTTTTATCGCACGAATCTTTCTGACAGAGAAGTCAAATTGTCAAAGTAGGCCAGCGAGACAGAGACATGAGGATGTTGACAGACTTTCGTGGAATGTTGCTTTTGAAGCAATTTATATTGGCAGGCCAGTTCCCTGATTTTAAAAAGAAGATTCGCGCTTTTTCATTAGCTCTTCCTTTAGTGCAACAGCTAAAAAACCATCGCGCAATTAATTCGAGAGGAAAGACCAAAACAAAACCAGTATACCGGGAATGAAAGCTGTATGAATTGATACAACATATTCATTAGGATGAAGAGCTTCATATCAACATGACTATGACTTATTAGAAATAAACCAGGACAATCGAAGGGCATGGACAAGAAAGTATACAAACTTTCAAGACAAGACTAGAAACCTACCATTAGTCAACTTTTTCAAAAATTATAAATTTGTTTTTATACAAACAAAAAAGGGATTTGAGATTATATTAATAATTCAACTTTTTCAATATACTTCTGTAAATATAATTTTTGTATTTAACCTTTAAGCTATTACAGGGGCCTTGTCAGCCCCTTTAAGCTGTCAGAATTTCAACCTACTATATATATGTTGTTACTAGTTTTAAATAATAGCAGTGGATTTGCAAACATTATATAGATATGACCAAATTATATATAAAATTTTGATAATTTTAAAAATAGTCTCCTTTGTAAAAATGTTAATACAAAAACAGAATAATGTGTTCAGGTCTTTGTGGTAACTCTTGCAAGGAAAAAGGGGTGAGTTATCACTCCCCCAAAGCCAGTAGCCAGATAACAGAATGCATGTAATCTCCAACCTTCATCTAGCATTTTTTTGCAAGATCCTTTCTGCTGATCCATAAAAGAGTTTGTTACCTTTTTATGCCTAGAATAATAAGGTTGACAGGGATAAATACTAACATAACAGTGAAATTTACTTTTGAGTCATATTAAAACATAAAATGATCAAAGAAACTTGGACACTCAGGGGCATTCAGAGTATAGATATTTAAAAGGATCAAAGAGAAATTTAGGGGTGAAAGGGCAACCACTGTTACTATAGCAAGCATCTAAGGATATTAACTTGAAGTAACACAAAGATGAATTTAAATGATATAGGCCATGCTTATATGAATCAATGCTAGAATAGCAAAGGTAATTTTAACAAATATAAACAATTCTGCCTTTAAAACATTAGAATGAGGATATGACACATCTTTTTTCCAAAACCAAGGGTGTAAATTCCATGTTTTTTCTTTGGGGTAGTAGATCTTTTGCCCTGGATATTGATCTGGCAAAATTTTGAAATTGTGCATCAATTCTATGATGAAATAGGCAGAACATGGTAGAACATGAAGAAAAAGGGTTCAGGGAAACATCAGCCAAACCCTGGGAAATTTAACACATCTATACCTCGGGCAAAGGTGTAGTGCACAGATCATTGGCAGGGATGTAGTGCTAGGAGGCTCAGGTCCCCTTATTGGTACAAAAAAGTAGCAAACTTCTACTTTTGGTACTATTTTATGTGACATTTTGCTTCAGAGCCCCTGTTGTACTTTTCATATTACCACATTTCTGAATATTTGGGGGACAGTTCACAAGACTGTTAGAAAACTTGTATTTAGAGTACGAAGTTTTTCTCAAAGCCCGGCAAATTGCGTTGCTTAGGGGGTGCGTGTCACACCATCCCCAAACCCCCTCCAAACCTTTACACCCTGCAGTTTCGCCTAACATTCAACATAGTAAAATGATAATAAGGATGAATTGTGACTTACGGGAAAGTTTCCATTTTGTGAATGGGGTTCTTCTTCTAATGCGGTGAGACATCAATTATTATTCAGCTCCCTGGAAATTCCTGAGATGACACGACGATAAGAAATGCCTTCGGTCAGAAATCCATTCACATCTGAAAATTCGTGAAGCATTCCATATTAAAAAGCTTGCTGCGTTGCCAAGATGAGGGTATGCGTTCAGGTTGAAGCTTCCATCTTTGATTTGTCGAATTACTAGTCCATGTTGGCTGGAAGCCTCCTCTGAACATCAATCGCAATGAAGGAAAATAAATAAAACGACAACCGAGATTCCGACATGAATCGCCTCTTCCGAGCCTCTACCGAGTCGTGCGAATTTCAGTGCGAACGTATAACAATAGCGCCGAATGTTGAAACAATGGTCCCTTCATACGTCACAAGGTACTTTTTCCGAAAAAAATTTTGTCGTATTTTTACGGTGATTCTCAACTTTGAGCGTCTATATCTGGAAAACGAGTTAAGCTTTTCGAAGAAAAATTCACGATAGCTTCTTTTTTTCGACTAACTACCAATTTATGCAAAAATCTCAGAAAAAATTTTTGGGCTGGAGTGGCCCTTTAACATTTTGAAATGTTCAAACATTCACGAATTATCATGTTGCTGTCTGCCCAGTCGTCGGCCTGTCACTGTTTCTCATTTATCTTATTGGTAGAGAAAGGAACAATCAAATCGAGCCGCTCTTTGTTCATTTTTTTAAAACTTCATTTTTAAACAATGTAATGGAAATTTCTTTTGTTCATATCGATTGTATGCAAATGATCGAACGTTTATGGCGAGTCAGTTTATAGAACTAATTTGCATAACAATTTCAATGCTATGGTTCATTGTGGTGCATTTAGTTCTGAGGCATGCCGCGATCAGGAAGATGCTTGTGCGATCTTTAGAAATTTACATGAATGGGTTATCATGTAATACTGGAAATACTTAATTGAATTGTTGATCAATTGAATGTGAGCCGTTGATCTGTTTGTTGATAGAATTTTATATCATTCGCAGATGGATCGATAGAACTATCAGGGGTTGTTCAAGCCTCGTGGCGTGGTTGGATTGCTTCGGCATCGAGTTACTGATGTTCGGTAAGTTTCTTATTTATTTTAGTTTATAGTATCTTTTATGTCTCTATTTACGTACTATTATTTTCATGATGGATACCCTCACTGTTTGCGTGTACAGAAGCCTATATACTTGATGTATTTTTGATTACTTGGTGTCATATATATTTTTTCGCTCATTACACGTTTTGATGCGTTTGATAGATTCATGATATAATTATGATTCGCTTCTTTTCATTTCAGGATCAATCCAGACGCTGATGTCTACAGGCGGATTAATTTGCTGAAATGTTTTCAAGGATAGGCCTTCCTCCGTTATTTACCAAGAAAATGTACCTACTTGAAAGGATAGAAGAATTCATGTGCTGTTCGTGTGCGACATGGCCCTTGAATGGATTGAACTATATTTTCATAATAATTGGACTTTAATGAGGACTTTTAACATACTGGACATTTATGGATTGATTGATTTACTATTGTTATTTTGTTTCATTGGAAGTATTTTGTTGATTCCATTAAGATACATCGCGTTCGAAATTGGAATTATTTTTCGCCCGTTTTAACTCTTTGCTCACGCCATTTCTATGTAACAACATTTGAGTCCTGAAAAATTTTTTTTTGCACAAAATTCAAGGTATGTTTATTTTTTTCTAATAAATTTGTTCTCTGAGCTATTATAGAGCATTCATTATATTCCTACTTTGGAAAGGTATGTTGTAACTAGATCTAAAATATTTATATTGTCTTTTTTTGACGGAATTTTGCATTTTCTCATACTTTTAAATGGCTTTGGCCACCATTTTTGTGTTACTTTATAAAAAATTTTTCCAGGCGAATTTGCAATTTCACCAAATGTTTTAGAAAATTTGAGTTCTTTGTGTGCAAAGTTGTATAAATAGTTGAAAAATTTGACTCCTTGTAATACATTGTAGCGAAATTTCAAAAAGAAGATATTTGCAAGTCATGGAAGTTGCAAGTCAAGAAGAACGGCCAGAAACCGTGACAGTATCTTTTAAAAATGAAAAAAAGGTTATTATTTGCTTACTTCATAATACTAAATATATACAAGTATTTTCCTTTCAAATATTTGTAACTTACATTAAAAATTAATGACTTATATACAGACTTTGCTTACAATAAATTTCATGTAGTTGATGGTCAATCTTTGCATTGGGAATTTCGTTTCAAATTTTACAGTATTTATTAGATAAAAAAATTTTTACTGTTGTATTGTAAAACTTAATAGTCACATTCTTATTCTCTTAGGAAATACCATTCGAAAAAAAAATTGTTAACGTGAGAAGAACTGTGGCAAAAATTTTCGATATTACAAATATCAAGGGGATTATTTTATTGAATAAAGAAAAAAAGAAACTCAAGGAACTTAGGTATTTATCTTATCACAATTGTAAATCCTACTGTTGCACAGTAAAAATTTGTTCATTTTTCAATTTATATGCTGCGAATATATCATTCTTTAAATTATTGAAATTATTTGAAGATGGTATATTCCATTTCTGATTGTTAATAAATCTTTTAATATTTTAATATAATGTACAGGCCAATATATTCAATTTTTATTTCTCTAATTCTCTTTCAGACCAGGGATGACTATTTTTATCAAAATCATCAAGAAGAAAAGAAAAGAGCAGCAGAGGAGGGAATTTCCTTTTTATAGAAAGGAATTTCCCTCCTTTTGTAATAATTTTTATTCAGGAACTTTTCCGAATATGACTGTTAACAATAATAAATAGTTTTGTTCTTTTTAAATATGTTCCAATGTTAAATATGTAATAGTTTTGTTGTTTTAAATGTTCCGCTGTTTGTTTGTTTCTTTTCATATTTTAAATTATGAAATTTCAAAATGAAAGAAAAAAACACAAATTTTCTATTTAGACATTTATATTGATAGAATGGAAAAAACTTTAAATTGTCGTTTTCTTTAAAATTATATGACCAACATTCCTTCATATTCTGCATGTTAGTTTTATTCAATCTTCATACTTGCATATCAGTATAAATTTAGGGTTTATTTTTGGCTGTTTGAGATGTTGATAGAATGGAAAAAACAAAAACATTACCTGCCTGTTTATGCTCAAAATATAACTTATCTGACAAAAAGTTCTTGATTATTTGAATATTAATTTCATTCACTCTTCATAGATGTCCGTATCAGTTTGAATTTAATGTTTCTATTTATATGTTATATTTCTGTTTAGACTTTTTGTACGTTGAAATTTTGAATTGTTGTGTTTAAATAATTATAGACAGGTCATTTGCTGGAAAAATTATGCCTTTTTTCCTGTCAAGGTTTTCTCTTCAGATTCCTTGCCAAGAAACATTTTGGAAAAGATTAAGACTTGGGGCATGTTGAAATTTGCCGAAAAGTTCAAAATGGCGGAATTTTTCAAAATGGCGGACTTTTTACACTGTTTTGGCCATAATGCACCGATTTAATCTTCTAAGAAAAGCATTACTTGACATCAAAGTGTCCTATTACGTCATAAACATGTTTGTTGCCATGAATGATCATCAAAAATTCAAAATGGTGCTCTTAAGGAGGTAGAACTAAAAAGAAATCAACAATTTTGGCGCTTCGCTCCATACTAACAAAGTTACTGTGGTCATATATTTTTATACGATAAACGCAGGATACACGGGATAGTAAGTCACCTCAGGAATTCATGCCCATGTCTTTAGGTCATTTCATGTTCTCCCAAATGTTGACATTAACTATTTTGACGTTTATAAACAAAGGTATAAATTACATTCCCACCTTTGAAGTTGTTGATATAAGTAGTTAAACTTAGACTAAATTGCACTATTTTGATAACCACAAATGCAACTTGAGCTTTTGAAATGTAACCGGCAATGAGATAGTATCTTTCGACTGAGTAGCTTCAGAATTTATCTGTGAAGTTTGGATGAGTTTTCCTCGTGAAAAGATGTGATTTGAAGACCAAAGGATACATTCAAGGGTACTATGTAGTTGAAAGTGGTCGACAATATTCTCTGTGATTTTCTTAGCTTTACTAAGAGGGCTTGATAATAGAAGATGCTGAGACATTTTAAAGGAATGGAAGACAACTTTGCTGTGTTGAAATTAAACTGTTAAACACTGTATGGTTATTGCAGCATTGGAATTATGTCGGCAAATCCCTACCTGCAATTCGATGGTCCTGGAATTAATCGGTGTATTTTATGCGATTTGCTTATTGATGACAAGGACAAAAAGGCTATCCAGTCAATAGCTTTTGATACCATTCAGAAGAATGCTCGTCTTTGGTCAAAAATCGACAAGCGAGTTTGTATTGAACAACCTTACAAGGCATTTCGTGAGGCATCATTCAGGCTTCCCCAATGTTTCACTGAGACATTGTACACTCATAAAGGATGCGCAGTTTCTTTCAGAAGCAGGCTGAAGACAAAACAGTTGCAGTCGGCAAAGCTCGAGGAAAATGATGCCTTATGTGATGATCAAGAATCACGTAAAAGTTATAGCGATGACGAATCATTAGTCTCCACAAGTAGGAAGAAGAGAACCAAGCTTTTACGAGAAAAAAGAACTGAAAAATCTTGTTTGATTTGCAACGAACGTTCGAGTGACGATGCACTTCCATACAATGATGGGGGATTGGCACGCTGTTCGGAAGAAAAAGCAGCACTAAAGTTGAAAACCTTGGTTGCCAAGAAGTTGTTAGATGAGCAAGATCGCCATTATGAAGCAGCTAAGAGAATTGACATCTTACTAAATGGTGCCTCCTATGATGTTTTTGCAGCAGATGTCTATTATCATAAGAAATGTTATGCGTCATTTTCTTATTTGTATGACAAGAAGGAGACATTGGCATATAACGCGGAGCAGGAACGGAAAGTTATGGGGTACTTTGATGAGATGATTAGGCGAAGGGTGATTCAAGATAAAGAATCCTTTCTCATGACTGAGCTGTTAAAAGACTTTGCAGAGATCAGTTCTGACTTTGGTCTAAGCGAACCACCTATAAGGCAAACAAAGTATCTGAAGACACATATTGAGCAAACCTTTCCAGATGAAATTGCCTTTTCTAAAGTTGGTCAAAAGAAACAAGTCCTGCATTCCAACACAGTTGAACCTGTTACCTATGTCGAGGCTGCATTGAAGGGTCATGGTTTGAGAGAAGTTGATCTAACCAAGGCTTTTGCCAGACTTGTAAGAAGAAAACTGGCAAACAGACATCCACTTACCTGGCCACCAACAACTGAAGAGCTTTGTGAGTCTTTGGAGACTTTTTTCCCGCTAGAGTGTATTTTCAATGCAATTGCTCTGTCGTTGAATGACAAATGGCCTATCAATCAAAATGGGATTGTCAGTGTACCCAAGGACTTGAATCAAAAAATATCCAGTCTTGCTCAGGGATGGGAAGCACTGACATTACACGGCAGGTCACCTTTAAACATTGCGATGGGCTTGACCGTTAACAGATTAACCGGAAGTAAGGAGACATCAAGACTATTGCACTGTGGTGGTATTGGAATATCTTACAATGACGTCAGGTTGCTTAGCAATTCTTGGGCCGAAGCGGTAACAATGGAGCATGCTCAGATGCTTCCACCAGGATTTGTAAAAGGTAGAGCATGACTTTGACTGGCAGCAAACTTTGACTGGGTCACAGACGACGCACCACACCACGGGAACGATTTTCCAACCATCATTTCCTGGTGATAAAGGGACACGTTTATATGAAGGGCATGCGTAGATCTATTACACCACGGAAAGAAAGATTTTGGTTCATATGTTATTCCAAAGAAACGGGCAGACCCTCCAGCAATGCCTGATTTTGAAGACAAATTCAAAGATTCACCGCTAATCGAAGAAGCATTTTATCGTGATGTAGCTTGGGTATTGTGTGGAGCTGTAAGTAAAGAGATGCTTCTAGAAATACAGCCTGAATTAGACACTGATGCTCTCCAGCCAGTTGGATCATGGACAAACTTCATGAAAGCTGTAACAGATTGCACTACAAGAAGGTGCAAACTAGAATATCTTCCTGTTATTCCTCTTCCTCCACATGATAACGTCGTCAAATGGTATATGGACATGATTCAGAAGATGCTTGATCAGCTAGAAATAGATCATATTTTTCTTCATGCAGATCAAGCAATTCATTCAAAAGTTCTTATCATTCAATGGCTAAACCAAGGGAAATACGATCAAATCATTACCTTCTTGGGCGGCTTCCATACGATAATGGTCAATTTGAAGATCCTTGGAAAGAAGTATTCTTGTCTCGGACTCAAGGAATGGTGGATAGAAGCCGATGTAATAGCTCAAGGGTCTGCTGATCAAGCAATGGAGGGAAGGCATTACCATAGAAGCATAAGGCTACACAAACAGGCTTTTGAAGCCTTGCTTCGCTATCGAATGAAGGGTGTTCTGAACAAAGGTGTATTCACTCCAGGATTCAAAAGGCAAATTGTAAATTTGAGACTTGTCCAATCAACCGCCAATTTAAAGTCAATAACTAATTCACCAGAATTCAAACAGATGATAAACAATTTAACAGATGTCTTTGGCACACAAGCTCAAATGATGATGCAATACATTCGCGATGTCTCGGCTATGCTATGCTTTGTCAGTGCTGTAAGAGAAAATACAATTGAGCGCCATTTAGCAGCAGAGCGTGTTTTGTTGCCAAAGTGTTTTGCATTTGGGCATCAAAACTATGCCCGTTATCTTACATTTCAACATGTCAAGCTGCAGGATATTAGATCAAAGCAAGAAGGAGCATGGAATGACCTTCTGGTTAATGGCTTTGGTGGTTCAGTCTCTGGCAAACCATACTCGACTATCCATGGTGACTTGATAACCGAAACAACCATTAACAGAGAGGTAAAAGTCAGAGGGGGTCCAATGCAAGGTGGATTTAGCACCAATGAGAAGGCTGTTGATACCTTTGTAAAGACCAGTCATTTCATGGCTACTGTTCGAGCCAAACTGAAAGAACGATTTGATGTTTTGACGCAGTCCGTTCACAAAGAAACAACTATTGGTGCGATAAAGAAGCACGAGGCAATGATCGAAGGTCTTGTTTTGCAGCTTGATAAGTATTTTGATCCATTTCTAGATGGTCCTGCAAGACATTTCAAAACTGGAGCCGAAATCGAGCCATCGGTCATTGAGGGACTTCTGAATTCATCTGCAGTAGGAGAAGCAATGTATGCTGAGTTTATTGACGAAAGACTCAAAGCCAAAGAAAATAGGGTTAGTATATTTGCATCAATAAAAAATCCTAGGATCAAAACTGGCATGGAGCGGGCAAAAAAGATTCCCAAAGCCATAAGCATTCTCAAGGAGGACAGGCAAGCCTTTGGATCACTCGTTGGTAAGGCTACAAGTCCAAGAGACGCACACTCTTATCCTCTTATAACTGTTCCACTAGCTTTAGCATCACCTGACAGTGATCTCAGACAAGGCTGCAAAGCTGCATTACGAAATTTTCTGATAGAAGAATCTTTAGCAGAAGTGCAAACACCTTTGTCTAAAGCAGCATGGTTAGTTGACGGCATGGCTGCAGTAAGGTCAATCGAAAGTAAACCTACTTGGGGAGGGTACGCAAAGGCATACTTCAGATTCTGCACACCTGCAGCCTCTTATCAAGCACATTCAATTGCTGTGATATTCGATAATTACACACAGGAGACAACAAAACAACTTACCCAGCGTCGCCGCGGGCACTCTGGCAAAAGAGTGTTCATTACAAGTCAAGAGCAAAGTATGCCACCACGAAAGGATTGGGACACTTTCCTCCACAACGCAGAGAATAAAACAGAGCTAATACGTTTCTTGGTAAATTACGCCAAAAACCACAAAGGCATGTTCAAAATACCACTTCAAATAACAGAAAATGAAAAGACATGGCTAATTTCTAATGATAACTTCACAGAACTTGAAGACAGCAACCACCGTGAAGCTGATACCCGCTTGATCCTAGAGGCAGATAAATTAGATGCACCTGTGATCATACATGCTACAGACACTGATGTCTTAGTGTTAATGGTTCATGCCTTTCCAACACGGGTTTTTGAACAGAAGTGGCAAATGAAGATAGGACATGAAAGATTCATAAATATCGAGTCAATTTGTGTAAATATCGGCACAGAAGCTTGTGCTATTTTGCCAGCATACCACAGCATCACTGGTTGTGATACGACGTCTTTTCCATTTGGAATTGGAAAATTAAAGCCATGGAAAAAGATGGTAAAATTGAAATGCCTTAACCTGCTGAACAATTTTGGTTCCACTCTGGCTTCCATCGGATTTTTGTCTTGTGCAAAAGAGTTCTTTCGAACTGTCATGTACGGAGGCAACAAAGGTGAATGCCATGTTGACACAAGAATTCGAATGTACGAAAGGCAGAAAGTCAAGTCAAGTTTGGGAATAATTCCTGATGAGAACAGTACAACCCAACATTTAAAGCGAAGTTGTCTCCAGGCTTACATATGGCATCAATGCACACAGCAGATGATTAACTATCCTCCATTAACTGAAGCATGGGGATGGAAAGAAGAGGAAACGGGGATAGTCCCAATTTGGTATACGTGCAGCCAGTTTCCCCCAAATAACAACCAGTCGGACACTGAGAGTAGTGATGATGGAGCAGAAGTTGTTGGTGGAAGTCAAAACAGTGAAGCAGAAAGCACAGATAATAGTGAATATGACTTCGATGCTGACTCAGATGGAAGTGAGGATGAATTTTAGTTTTCAGCATTTAAATTTATGATTGAGTTGGACTATATAAAACCTTCAAATTTTTCAAATTTCGGTATGATTTTTTGCCATTTCATTATGTGAAATTGGATTTTTTTATTTCATAGAGCCCTATCCTTACTTGTGGGACTCTGTCGTTACATTTGTTTATCTTTTATAAGGTTTCTGACCACAGTAACTTTGTTGGTATGGAGCGAAGCGCCAAAGTTGTTGATTTCTTTTTAGTTCTACCTCCTTAAGAGCACCATTTTGAATTTTTGATGATCATTCATGGCAACAAACATGTTTATGACGTAATAGGACACTTTGATGCCAAGTAATGCTTTTCTTAGAAGATTAAATCGGTGCATTATGGCCAAAACAGTGTAAAAAGTCCGCCATTTTGAAAAATTCCGCCATTTTGAATTTTTCGGCAAATTTCAACATGCCCCAAGTCTTAATCTTTTCCAAAATGTTTCTTGGCAAGGAATCCGAAGAGAAAACCTTGACAGGAAAAAAGGCCTAATTTTTCCAGCAAATGACCTGTCTATTATAGAGAATTTTAAAACAATCCTTTTTTGCTCTTTCTGTATCTAACTTCTTACACACAATATAATTCTCTAACTGAATTAACTAGACAAGTTTGGGTCCTGATTAGAATTTGCAGTTATTTATAAAGTAAATAAATTTGCAAAAATTTCCAATTTTAAGTTATGCATATAATGAAATAGAAGATTGGTCGCGGTTTCCAATACAGAGGTAGCTGTCTAAAAAGGCATTGCCGTCCATCTTGTGATTTAGTTTCAAAGCTTTATTGTCATAACTAACAAATGATATAGAGTAGCTTTAGGAAGTCCGACCCTCCATTTTGTGTTGCAATTTCTAGGCATTATTGTCATAACTCTCAGACGATATAGAGTATGTTAGGGGCCAAAGGTTCATTTTGAAGCTTTTCGCAAGGGGCATCTTTTGGGGTGGTTAATTTTCAGATTGGGCGTGGCTGTCATGTCATAGTGACGTCACAGTCTTCAATTTAAATGAATTTTGGAAAATTAACTTATTGAATACATGTTGAACCCCAAAATGAATAACACCAAATGAAAGATCTCATCAAAGCGATTCGAGTGGTGGTATTGGTTTTTGTTTTATTCTAAGAATTGATGTTTTAATGATGTTTTCACTTTTTTTGTAAATCAGTGTCTAAGAGGCTCGACCCCTCATTTTCTGTTTGACTTTCCAAACTTTATTGTCATAACTCTCAAACAGTATAGAGTATGTTAGGGGCCAAAGGCTCATTTTGAAGGTTTTTGTATGGATAAATTCTTAGGGTTGTTTTTTGTCGTTTTTAGGCGTGGTTGTAATTTCATGGTGACGTCATAGTATTGAATTGCAGTGATTTTTGAAAAACAATTAATTAAATACATGTTATATATCAGAAATGATTGCATCAATAGAAATATGTCATCGAAGCGATTCTAATGGTGGTATTAGTTTTCCAAAGCGTGAAGAGATTATTTTTTATGATGAATTTAAATTCAAACCTTCATTATTAGGTTGCTGTTAACCCTAATGCGAGCCATGATCGTTTGGCAGCTACATTTTTAGCTACATTTTAAACGATTGAGGGAATTTGTTTATCTGTTATCTTCTTAATTGTCAAACAAAGTCAGATAATCTCTTTTGTTCTGGCTGATTGTTTACATAAAGATCAAATATCCCATCCACTCGTTCGAAATGGTTTGTATTTTTCCCATTCTGGTTTCCCTGTCTGTGGCCCGCGAAATTTGTCTTTGCTGATGCGATTTCGCCCTGAAATTGTTTTGAGGAGTGAAGAGAAAGATTGAGCAGGAAGGTATGTTTGTATTTTATATAATTTTTAATTGTTCTTACTATAATGAATCATCAATGTTATTGCTTGAATATGGTTTACGGCGAGAAATTTTTCATTTCTGCTTTACTCATGATTTTTCTAACTCAAAAAATAATTTTCATGGATTTTATTCTATCGCTAATGTCCCTAAACCATATTCTTATTATCGAGAGGAATTCTTATTAATAGAAATTTATCTATTCTGAAATCATAACATTTGTTATTTTTCTGCCTAAAACTATAGCTTTAGATTATTTTTTCAAGTACATTTATTGAATGAGTTTGTAAACAACATTAATTTGTCTGTGTTCACTGTGCTCACTGTTTCATGTAGCATTCTAAGCACATTAATTATGTTAATATTATATTTGTTTCACCAATTGAATCAAAGTTCAATTTATCAATTACAATAAAGTATCACATTATTTCTGCAGATAAATTAGTGCAGAAATACATTTATAAAATCATTTCAAATTTTGGTAAGTTGATTGAAAGCTTCAAATACTTCATAGCTTTTAACAGTTTCACCAAACAGAATTGCAATAAACTAAATTTTAAGTTTAGGTGATATTTCCTCTTTATTCTAATACGATAGTTAATATTATCTTTCACTTGATTGAAACTCGTTGGGTTTATGAAGTCATTTCTAACGATTATCAAGCAATTCCCAAATCAATTACAGTTCATTAACTAAAATTTTATATCTAGTAAGTTTTTCGTAGAAAATTATAAATTGCAGACCTTTCTCTGCTTAGTATTTTCAATATGCTAAATTTTCTGATCATTTGAATGAACATTTGAAATTTCTTGTACTGAATGTAATGTGCAATTTGACTCAACACAGATGCAACCCCTTTCCCCATATGTAGCCCCCTTCCACCTTATTATGTAACCCTTTTCCCCATAAGGCATATAGGCAGAAGAAAATTTTATCTTTTTATGTGGTATTGGAATGAGTATAATAATTATTTGACCATTCAGAATTTATTCATAATTTATTAATACAAGGTATACTATATTGCCCCTCCACATAATGTGTACACAATTTGCAATTTTTATACAATGCTAAATATACATTGTTGTTGTTTTATCATTTCAAGGCAATTTATTTATATTATTCTAGTATTCCCATATTGTATTTGCAGATGTGTTCCACTTGGCTTAATATTTCTTGTCTTGTTTGTTTTGCTTAAACTGTTCTTATATTTGGTGAGTATTATTGATCTTTTTTTAGGCTGAACACCTTATAATTCCTTTATACAACACTCTTAGTGCAGTAATACATATGCTGATTTCAACATGCTGAACCCGAATTTCAAATTGTTTTAAGTTTAAAATGTTTTATAAATATAAAACATTGTTGCTATGATTGTTGATTTCACATGACCAAAATTTTTTTTATATTATTTTTTTGCAATTCTAATGTTAACTGGATGAGACATTGATGAATTGAATGTTGTTTTTTTTAACTATTGATACCCATTTGCCCATATTATAATGTATATTTTCTTTCTTTCTAGTTGTTATTTTATATTGAACTTGTTCCAGTTTATTCTTTGGTTCATTTACAATAAACAGTTGGTGAGTTTACAAATTACAAATTATATGGAATATAATATTTTGATATGATTTCCCCTGTCTATTTAATATCACTTCATACAGAAGTATATATAAATTACATAACATAGTGGTAATTGCAACAAATGGACTTACTTAATGCAATCATAGTTTAATATCAAAATTGTCTATAGCATTACTGTACCATTCCAAAGAAGGGTTTGAAATAGATCTTTTTGTTGCCATGTCTTTTGCATATGGAACATAATTTTTTTCAAACAGAAGATTTTTTTCAAACATTAAATAACATTTGTTTATGCCCTGTTAGATGTTCAAATTTTATAAAAAATCAAACATTTTGATATATAGATAACCCTTCAACATATGGTCTGGTAGTTTAGTTTTGTTTTCCATTCTTGGAAATAAAAACTTTGATGCATATTGATGTATGCAGTTTTTCTAATACAATTTTTTCAATTTTGGAATGAACAACAGCATACTGAATTAAACATGATTATTCATATATACTAATTTTCCGTTTGTATAGCCTTATCTTATACCTTTTGTTTTCTTTCAAACAGTTGGTAATTATTGGATTGCATCCTGTTGTATTCATCAAGATATTTCAAATTATATTGTTGGTAAGTTTCCATTTAAACATTTTTAATGTTTTTTCTTATAAATGAACCTATCATTTTCTGTTACATTTAAGTATTATAATGGATATGTTTCCAAACAAACTTTTTATTACAACCCTATTGAAATTAAAACATTTGAATACCAAATAGTTTAAGTTTCTTATTTTTGTTAATGAAAAATATAATGGAAAGAGAGGGTCTATCATTTTAAACTTTTTACACCAAAATTCTAATGCTTTTTTCATACATGCTTGATTTGACTATGAATGATATATATGAATGACTGTATTTCACTAATCTGACCTTGCTTTATTCAATTGTATTCCATTTTATCCTGCATATTCATACAGAAATAAATATACATATACCATTGCTAGAATTTAAGGTCAACTTGATCTGAAATTACATCATTATATTATAATGCATACTATAGGCATGTTTCTACAAGAAATCATTTATATATCATTTGGCACAAGATATTGGGAACTAGTCCTCAACATATGGTCTGCATATGGTTATGATTTTATTATCTATGACTGAAACTAATTTATATATAGTACTATAATATATGATTGAGTTATATGTGTGAAAATATAACATTAAATTAGCAAATGTAGAGAAAATATGTTAAACCGTCACTGTTAATGTGTTCATTATATATTACATATGATAAGACTGAACTGATTTTCATTATAGATACTGTTGGTTCTGCCTTTTTGTTGGTAGAGGTTTGTTCCTTTTGTTTTGCCAATTAGAGGTTTCAAATTGTTACCTCTTCTAACATTTTTAAGCATTCTACATCCAAATGTGCAACTATTACTGTAATTAACTTTGATCCGATTTATGTTTATATAACTGCAAACAGAAGAGTTGATGCTGTTACAAAGATTCAATTTAAGATATATTATTTTGCACAACAATCACAAAGATCAGACATTTGAATTGTATTGTCTAAAGTTGATCAGTAATATTTATCTCTTTTTTTTCAGGATTTTATTAAACCCCATTTTAAAACCCTTTTATAAAAATGGGAAAACCTAAGATAACATGGAGTAATGACATGAATGAAACACTGCTTAGTATTAGGAAATCCGCCTTATCTAAGAAAGAAAAAGGTGATGGGCGAGCATTAATGAACATTGTCCTTGAACACTGGCAGGAATTATTTCCAAATTCTAAGGTTACTGTGAATGCCTTGAAAATCAAGCTGAGTAAGTTAACTAGGGGGGCAGAAGGCAAGGTATCAACAGCAACTGAAACCGTCGGAAATAATGATAAGCCCGCCAAAACTAAGCAGGATGAACCAGAAAATGTCATTGATAATCAATCGAACACCCCAGTTGTTGAGACTGAGGAATTGAGGCAAGAACCATTGAAAGTAAAGCCACAACATAAGGCTAAAAAACGCAACCAACGCCCATTTAGAAAAGGCAATGAAAGTAGCTCTAAGCTAACTGCTCAAATGAGGAAAGAGGTTGTTAATTGCTATAGGATGATTCAGAAAAGACGTAATTGTAAGGAAAAGTCAAAGTCATATTTACAAAAGGAAACACGGAAACTTTGGCTCAAGAAATTTCCTTCAATGTCTATTTCACTGTTAACAATTGCAGGTATTTGCAAATCTATAAAAAGTCCAAAAAAAGGTTGTTCAGATCGACCTGTACAAAGTGAAGTCAATGCGATAGAATCTTGCAATGTTCCAGATTGTACAGAGAGGTTGAGAAGTATGCGTCAGGCCTCATCGGAACTGGCAAGCCAACCTATTTTTAAGTACATTTGCTATAACTGCGGTCGCCTCATACCATATGAAAGAGGTAATAGGCACATCAAACTTATTGCCTTTGACCCACTTTGCATAGGCTGTGAAACACCTCCTGTACTTGATCTTTATGATACAATAGGGGAACTAGCCTATCAGAATAACAGGGGAAGGTGGACTTCCTGTACTAACTGCAAGCGTGGGCCGATTGAGTTGTACAACGCTGCAGACCCAGAAACGGGGAAACTTTATGTTCCTGAACCACTTAGGGACTTGGTATCTCCCTATGAAAAAGGCCAAATATCACTAGCAGGTCTTATATCCAAAATAGTTAAGCCACGTAGTGATAAGTTTAAGGTCTGGGAGCACTTTCAAGGTGACGTCAGAACCAGAACCAAATCGGACTACCACTACTATGGTATGTATGGATTCATGGTTAACCGTGATGAAAATGATACAAACGTAAATAATAATGAAGTGCAGTTGCGTATTAAACGTGCTTTATTATGGTTACGTAACAATAATCCACTGTTTGAGTCATTTTATGCTAATTATGACACATTGTATCGTTTTGACCCTGACAAGGTATTACACTTGCACAAGGCTACAGACTTTGCTGCAAGTTTCAATAAGACAGTGGACAGTCATATGCACGACGAATCTAGCGGTATTGTTACAAACTTGGATGACTGTGGAATTCCCAATTTCTTGAATGAAGGAGCTGATCAAGCAGGAATACAGCATCCAATTGCCGCTAGAATGAACAAGAGTCTGCATGAACTGAAGCAGCTTACTAGGGTCAACTACAAAGATCCAAAGCTGGAGCCAAAGCTGTGGCCACACCTGTTTCCTTTTGGAATTGGGGGTTGGTCACAGGATACTTGCATGAAAGCTGGAGAATACCTCAAGCATATGCTTTTAAACAAAGATGCCAGATGGAGAAAGGATCCAAGTTTCTCCTTTCACTGGTATGACAGGCAGATAAAGATGAAGCTTTTTTATCTGGCGAAGGCTCGAAAGGCCAAGCGAGTTGACAGAGTAGATGCACTGACAAGCCTACAGCTACAAGAGTCAACGTTCTATGATAAACTTGGCCAAATTGTTCCAGCGACAATAACTGGTTCAAAAAGTTACTGGAACAGTAAAACGTTGGACCTGCTTGCTCTGAGCAGAAAACTTGGACAACCGACCTTCTTTGTGACTTTGACACAAAACGACAACTGGCCTGAAATACAGAATCATATTATTAATGGTCCAGGTCATGTGCAGCCTATGATTGACGTAGACAGTGAGTACGAGCTGCGGGATATCCATCCAAGCAGGGAGTATTCAATCGAAACTGTAACTGCATACAGCAATAGGCTGAAGTTGTTCAAAGAGAAGGTTATCAACAACCCTAATGGCCCACTAGGAGAAGTCATTGACTGGTGGGATCGTAAGGAGTTCCAGGCCAGGGGAGCCATTCACAACCATATGGTTGTTTGGTGTAAGGAGAAAACAATCCCTGACCACGCAGTTTGTGCTGAAATGCCAAGGGGTAGCGAATTAAACCCTACTGTTAATTCACTAAAGTCTTTTGTTCGACGTCTACAGGTACACAGATGTCGCAAGGACAAGTGTTTTACCAGTTCTCATGGCAAGCCCCTCAGGAAATGTAAGTATGGTTTTCCATACCCAGTTCAGGAGGAGGAGAGGTTGAACAATGCTGGCAACAGATTTCTACCTCGACGCAGATGCCATGAAGACATTTTGGTTGTTCCCTACAATCAGGAAATACTTTACCTGTGGGGAGCACACATGAACATCCAGAAAGTCACAGCATCAGGCTGGGAAATGTACCTGGCCAAGTATGTTGCTAAAAGTGAGCCTTCCTTTCAGCTGGAAGTATCAAAGGATGCCTCTGACACAGAGAAGTATATACGAACCAGGGTTGTAGGTCGATTGGAAGTTGACCACAACAACCTTGGTTATTTTCTATGCTCTTCAAATAGGGAGGTTATTTATCTTCCTACAGACCTTGAACCTGTATACGGCTTTGTCAAGCGTAAGAAGGACCTTCCTTGCGATCCAGACAGTGATGATATTTTTTATTCTAATCTGCTGGATAAGTATATGGAACGCCCTGAACAGCTCGAGAACGTTTTATACGTTGACTGGGCTGAAAAATATTTATTAGATAGATCTAATAATAGTCGTCGTTCTAATTTACAGCAGGATGATGACAACTCAGATGAGGAAAACACGTCAGACGTACGTCCGGCAGTCCTCGTTGACCGAATGGGTAGAAGATGGAAACAGCGCAAGGTTGAAGCTGTTGCCCGCTGGAGATTCTACCTTCCGAATGGTGAAAACCAGGAGAACTACTACATGCAGAAACTGGTGTTAAATCTGCCTTTGCGTAAAGAAACGCCTGTCATTTCTCCAAACAACATGTCAAAAACGTACATGGAAGAATGTGCCATTCGTAACCTGATTGAAGAGCAAGACGACGCCATGACTGCTCTCCAGGATGCCAGGCAAAGAGGGTTCTCACTCGCTCGTCTGCGCAAGATGGCACAATCCTTACGGGACATGGACTGGATCGGTGAAGACGAATTCAATACGTTCATTGATGAGGTAACAACTGCCCATCGAGCCGATGCAGTCGAAGATGAAGAAGAAGTCACTGATGCTGACTTCAATCCAGATCATGCAGATCTAGGTAACCTTAGGGTCAATGACAATCGCATTGACCTGGCAGAATTTGAGCAGACTCTGTCACCTTCACAGAGGCTTGCTTATGATTATATTACACAGTTTCTCTCGACAGGTAAACAACTGTTGACTACCATTGTGGGAGAAGCTGGTACTGGCAAGTCATACCTTCTGAAGGGTATAATGGAACATGCTACCAGTGTGCTTCATCTGAATGCTAGGAAGCTGGCAACAACAGGTGCAGCAGCCTACCTTATTGGAGGAGAAACGGTGCATCACTTCTTTAAAATGAACATTGAAGCAAAAAGCCGTTTGGAGACAGGTACAATTGAGTATGAACTTGTCTCAAACACCAATGTACTAATCATTGATGAATTTTCTCTCTTAGAATTGACGCCGTTTTTGGTGATCGACAAGATTCTAAGAGATATGGCACCGACCATTAATCAACAGCATATGCCATTTGGAGGAAAGCACATCATTTTGATGGGTGATCCTGCACAACTTCCAGCCATTGAGCGTGACATATTTGATTCTTTCTTGTGGAGGAAATTCAGTATTGTGATGCTCAAGGATATAAAGCGTCAAGATGATGAGACGTTTCAACATATGCTATCCACTATACGTCTTGGTAAGACAAATAGTGAAATTGATCACATTCTTAGATCTAAAGTTGTTTCAATTGATGATATTGATGCTATTGATCTAAGTAATGCAGCCATTATTTGTTCCTTTAGAAGGGAGCGAAACCATTGGAATAGTATCTTTCTAGACAAGCTTGATACAGAACCTTTTACATTTGATGCTACTGATTCAGATGTAACAGGCAATCCTCTTTCAGAAGCTGTTAGAAAAAAGATACGCTCTTATCACAAAGAACGACTCGAGGACACCCTTGCTCTAAAGGTAGGTGCGAGAGTTGTTCTTACCAAGAATATAGATGTTGAACACGGTTGGTTGAATGGTACAATCGCCAACGTTGTAAGTATTCGACAAAACTATATTACTATTGAAAATGTCAAAACTGGCAGGAAGACTGTGGTGACCAGAATGAAACAAAATCTTTCGTTCCCTGGAGCCGCAGTTCAGTATGTACGTACTCAATTCCCCTTACTTCTAGGATGGGCATTGACCGTTCACAAAGTTCAGGGTATGACGCTTGAGAAGGCATACATATTGCTGAACAAGAACTTCTTTGCCAGCGGCCAGGCGTACGTTGCACTGTCAAGAGTCAAGTCGCTAGACAATCTTCACTTGCTCGACTACGATCCAGGTGCAGTGCTTCTTAAACCATTCTACAGGGACCTGTTGGAGTGGATGAAGCAAAAGGATGAAATACGGGTTGATCGGGATGGCGACAGTTCAGTTGAGCCAGAATACCCTATGCGACCCCCTGAATCTCCTAAAGAGAAAAAGAATTCCAAGAGGCCTTGGAAAAAGATGGACAGACATCCGCCAGTGCCGCCTAAGAAACCGAGAACCTGTAATGCAGGTCAGAAGGAGCCGGCGGAGCAGTCTACTTCAAGCAGACCACCATCTAAGACGAAGAAGTCCAAAAAAGGCAATGAGGGTACAAGGGAGCGGCAAATATCTGAGATATTTGGCGACCACCACAACCTTCAAGCTCTTTGGAATGCTATAAACTTTCCTTTACATGCATCAGTAGACACGTATTTACAACACAGTGCTCAGTTTGATGCAATTATTGATATACTGCGTGGCATTGATGTATTAATGTATTTTGATCTCTATTACACGCAGATCGACTACGGGCAGCAAGATCTACTTCACCCTGTCGTTCAAGAATACTTGAGAGCAGCGAAAACAAGTGGTGATGGAAGCTGCCTGTTTTATTCCATCTGGAAGCAGCTGTTCCCTCATCCTGAAACTGTTGAAATTGCAACGTTCATGAGACAGATAACGTTGTATCACATCTACAAGCATGAGGAACATTTCAGACAGCTGCAACGTGAAGTCGGCTTTCAATTCACATACGACGATTATGTGAACGAAATCAAAGGGTTGTATACATATTGTGGTGATATGGCACTGCTTGCTCTTGCCGACGTACTTAACCGACCCATATATTCGTATCAGTCCTTTCTGTTGAGAAATACTGATATATATTACTTCGAGGATGCAAGTTTTGAAGAATTAGTTGATCATTTCAACATACATTCTCACGGTACGATGCAACATTGGCTTTATCCTCCGTTTACAAATAATTACGAAGGACGCACGCCATTGACTGTCTTATATGATGGTGCTCATTTTACAGCCTTACTAAAGGCAGAGACACACGAGGATCTAGTTCCTACAACAAATCTGTTCAACATTGGAGCAGCTTTGGAAGCCATGCCAAATTGATTCAAATGGTATGGAAAAATGGATTCGCAGAAAATTCTACATTTGCAATTGTTTTCAAACTGAGGGTCATGTGATCATGCAGGCGGCTTAATGGTGGAGCCAATAGATTCAATTCACACCATATCAGAGGAAGCTTTTAATTAAGGTACCTCAGAGTCATTAAGCGAGAAATTGCATTGTAAGTAATAGCATTGTAATTTCAGTATGTCTTATACATGCATACTTTGAGGATCGTCCCGACTCTGTCGATCCTAATGTATTGACTTCCAACGTTGTGCTTCTGTTGTAAAACAAGTAAGCATCGTGGTAAACTTGAATCGAGTTACCTTTGATCACACATGTGACCCTCAGTAAGAAAAAACGATGCAAAGTAAGCGTTACCATGTTCAGTTTATTTGATTATTCATATGACAGGTAAGTATGCCTATGTTCTTTCTCGTCAATTCATCTCGTTTGTTGTTTATTCAAGAGATATGTTAATGCTAAATTTCCTTTCGAATTTTCTTTTTTGTTTTATTTCTGAAATGTTCTATAAATTCGTTGATTAATTCGCATCATTTTTATCTTAGATCGAATGGTCTGTTGCTTGGCGTTTCACCGTATATATGATATTCAAGTGGTATGTTGAATACTCTGGGGCATTGAATAGAATCCCCTCTTTATAAATTTACCATATTGCCTCTATTTGATTTGCCATTTCCCACATTGAAAATATATTTTGCACTCAAAAAGCTTTTATGTATGCTTGAATGACTATATGATGCAACATTGATTTTCTTTGGAATTATCCATGTAGGTGATTGTCCATTATACATTAAGAATTTCATTTTCACATTTATTCTAGTCAACTTCAAATCCTATTTAAATGTCCCAGAGTATCTATTTTACTTTTATAAAATCTGTTCCTAATGTATTGTTATTTGATGCGGTACTTGATAATATTCTTTTTATCTATGGATTTTTGAAATTAGAATATATGTCTTTTCCCCAAATGAACAAATTTACTTTGATAATGTCATATTTTCCTATATTTAACGTTACTGTTTACACTATATGAGCTAATAAAAAGTAAATAATGAATCTTTACCAGTTATTTATAAATGTTTAATCATTAAACATGTCTCTTTTAAAATTATTCACTATTTAAAGTAAACTTTACTTATATGATAAACTGCATAGATGGTCATAGAAAGCGTATAAAGTATTTTCGTTTTCAGTCTAAGAATAAATTTCTGTTTGTATTAGTTGCTTTTCAAAGCATATTACTAAAAGTAGGTAATTGTTATGGTATGTAACGAATGTAAGCCATTTAACATTTTCTAAAAAACTTCACCTGATACAATAATACAAATTCTATAGTCAAAATATTTTATCAAACAGATAAAAAACTTTTAAAGTTATTTCAGAATTTCATAAACTTTTTAATTGACAAAAAGACTTTCGCGAGAAGCATTTTCACGGAAAGGAATAGAGGACGTTGGATAGCCATTTAGAGAGTCCTGAGTTTGAAAAGCAAAATTAGAATACCCGAAGCAGACGGAAATGTCAACGTCAAGAAATTAAACACTTTAAAGCTCTACGTTTGTTTTCGACTGCTGAAGAACTTGATTTCCTACTCAAGAATTCATGAAGCTTCATGTTTTGATAAATACTGTGACAATAGTTTGCGGACGAAAAATGCCAATATTCTCATTCATTATGTTCATCACATCATATCACTTATTCAAATGTGTTAGCAGCTGTACATTTCATGTCTATGAAATGCATCAAACGATTCTATTCAATGCATATCATACGGAAAAGTCTTCATCTACAACTAGATACAGAAAGAAAGTTTTTGAGGATGAAATATGCAGATACCTACAGAAGGTGAAAACTTTTTCAATACATATCTGATTGCAACATTTATGGAAGCGATATTCCATAGCAGCGAAGGAAGTCTAAAGTTACAATAATTATTCCAGTGCTGTTCACTCAGTGGATATAACAAGCTTACCATTTCTTAGGACTCTCTATTCATGGCTCTGGTCAGAAAGAAAAGAGTACTTTGAATGAATCGGAAAAAATTGACTTGCTATAGAAATTTTCTGATTTCTTGTAATTACTTACTTATTTATTTAAATGATAAATATAATTCTAAGTTTACGAGCTCAATTTTAAAGCCATGGCATATGATAGTATTCATAAACAAAATAGACAATTCCACATTTGAAAACCATTGCATCGCATTTGAATTATTTGTTACCTTGGTTTTTCAATTCTTTCCAATAACCTTTTCTTTATACTTGCTTTTATAATAAAACTGTTTTCTACAATTTTTTTGTTAATCCTTTGGGCAACTATTTATTCATGACTGCATTTTATATATGTATTACTATCAGTTACGCTTCGGCATGTTTCTCGATGTTGCCTATAGAAATATGTCGTCCTTTTCTGCTGGAGAATTGCACACTTAAAAATTAGTTTCATTAGTTTCCGATGAATTTATCCAAAATTTACATTGATTAAAAAACTTTTCGATTCGCCAATCGCAACCTCCAGAAAAAAGGAATACTCAAACGACGGATGCCCCTTGACGTGGTGTTTGGGCTTTTCAACCAATGCATCCGGCAACATCTACCTTTAATATGCCAATATATTTTTGACATGAATTCTTTATACCTTTCTTTAGAAGCAACAGTTCGGTTACAGATTCGTGTAAAGTCGTGTCTTGTGATGGTAAGATATTACATTTTTTTCTTAATGAATCTTAATCATTTTTCAATCGCAAGTTTTCAACAAAAATGTTTCGGGGGCAGGGGTCGCAGTATATTTTGATTGACTATAATTCTTTCTGTTTGACTCTTTAACATTTAATCTTATAATATAGAAAAAGTCTGAGCCATATAACGTGGCAACGTCTTACTATTAGGATTTTTTCATCGGGTTATAATTATTTTTTAAGTTGGGTGTGGTCTTTTCGGCAAAATGACGTCACATCTTAAGCCACTGTATGTTTTTATGTGCGTCTAGTTGGTATAGATGTAAAGAGGTTATTGATCTGCTTTTTATTCTCTAGATGTTCCTGGACTTTTCTGCAAACAATATTGTTCTGTTGGTAAGTTTTTCTCTAAGTTTAAAATAATTTATCGCTAAACCTCAAAATTGAAATGTTTTCGAGGACAGGGGCTTCAATGTCCGTAATCCGTGTGGCCTGGCTGGCTATATTGTTGCTCGAATCAAAGGATTCTTTCAATGTTGCGCTCAATTGCTTTCCTTTGTTGTTAAAACAATAGTTGTAATCTTTTCCGTTCGCAAGTCAACTGAACAATAAACGTGTTAACACAATATCAGTTATCAATATCATTGACAGACAGCAGGTACTTTTGGAGTTCGAAATTGCAATTGGAATTCGATGCGACCGTTGCAGACCTACATGGTTGTTAGGAGGTTTTCGGACTGCAGCAGATAAATTGCTTTCCTATCTTTATTCATGCGAAGCAAATGATTGTAGTTGACACACAGAGCAATGAGATAGTTCTTTATAACATCTAAACCGACCGTTTGTTTGATGGGATTTCATTTCATTACCAGTTATGTACGGATCGCAACAAGACGGCGTGGTTTGTTTTTTGGCTGCGAGTTCATCGGCTCTACATTCAACCGACTGACCGGCTTCGTATCTTTGGGGGGAAATACTTGAAAGATGAACAAATTGATGTAAGTTTATCCTTTTTGTTTGCTTAACACATTTAAACATTTCGTAAGTAGTAGAAGCTATTGTTTGCTTTCAAGATCGGTCACCCCCTGACCCTCCTGTCTGTTGATTGCCTTTCCATGCTTGCTAATCAGTTAAACATGCTTGCTCTACTTTCAAGGGGGCAGTTCAGTTTTAGTTATTTAATTATTCAGATTTCAGTTTTCTCTTTAGTAATATTTCCTACTTATCAACACATAGAGCAGAGAATTTCTCTATAGTTAATTGAAGGATTAAAAGCTTTTTTGGCTAATTAGGAGGGTGGTTTTATTCAGTTTCATGTAATTGAAATATTTCACAAATTTACAATGAATTTTTTCTGAACAAAAACATAAACTTAAGATTTTTCTATTCCTAATACATATATAAGAATTGGCCCATAGAAATAACATGCATATATTGTGGATTGTAAATATTTTCAGATTTCTGTTGGCTCTTGAGTAATATTTCCTACATATCAACACATAGAGCAGCTAATTTCTCTATAGTTATTAAAGGATAAAAGCTTTTGGGTTAATTAATTGCCATTTTTTAAGTATATACATTTTTCAATGAGAGCTTTGTGTTTATGAAACTTATATTTTCTTATTCTTAGGTGTTCCTGAGTCTGTCTACCTAAAAATGCCTTGAAGAAGTAGTTGTCATTTGGACCATGATTTTATGCAATTTTGAACATTGTACTGATCAAGGACATACACATTCTACCATTGACTGATTTTATCCATGCAAATGACTTTTATTGTCAGTTGGCCAGAAAATTTGATTTCATTTCAGTTTTGAGTAATGTTTTATTTATTGATACATATTCATACATAGAAAATAGAATTTGTTCACATTTATACTCTGATACCTATTTCAATACATATTTAAGTGAATTTTTTCATGATTTTCAACTGAAAGAGACAAATTGTAATTATTTTTTTGGAACTTATTCTTTCAATCTGGATATTGCAATGATGTGGCAAACATTGATAATATAACTATAAATATTTTATGATTGTGGGATATTTCATATTTCCCTTAATGATTATTAATAAAGGTTTACTACAAAAACTGTTTCAGGGGCAGGGGCAGCAGTACTGTCATTCACTACAATTTTGTTTGTATGACTTTTGAACATTTATTTATATAATATAGAAACAGTCTGAACCAGATTAGGTGGGGCAACATCTCATTGTTAGAGTTTTTGATAGGGGCGTCAAGACAAATCGATAGGTGGTATTGGTTATGAGGTATCACCTAGTAATGATGTCACTATGACCGGCTGAAGTTTTGGCACTTTTCAGTACTGTGTCCTATATAGCCACTTTAAAGTTCCTATACAGTATATTGTATATACAGTATATAGTGCATTTGTTATAGGATTTTCATATACATTTAGGCCCATTTGCTTCTTTGTTTACTTTAGCTCACTTTAATAGGCAAATAGCAGGTATTTTTATGGTTCGAAACAAACGGAAGTAAATTTCGATCCTTCTGCCTTCTATTTGGAGTAAGAAGGTACATTTCCTATAGGGCTTTCCTATACATTTAGGCCCATTTGTTTACATTAGGCCCATTTTACAGGCAGATAGAAGGTTCTTCAAGGGTTCTCATTGCAACGCTGTATTTATAGATCCTACTTCCTGGATGGGGTAGGGGTACACATTGGTTGTCGGAGGGGTGAATGAGGGGTAGGGGTGGGGGGAGGGGCTAATAGGGAGGGGAGAGAGGACTTTTTGGGAATATAATCAAAACTCTCTGATACACGGTTTATAATAGGGTCCACTACTCTTGTGACAGCACAAAGACAGTTGCGGGTTCACACCACTCCCCCCACCCCCTTTTTTATTCCCCTGGGGATGTTCCACTGAGATTAGAGAGTGGTGTGTTGATTAAGCGACTGTCTATATATTCATGTTAGAAATTTTGGAAAAGTGTTTTTTGCGAATAACTTTTGAACCGCAAGTGGGAATCGAAAAATTCTTTTTTTAGAAGGCGTATCTGTAAGAGGCCCTAGTCGAATACGAAATCTGGGAGTTGGGGTAACGGGGTAAGGTGGGGTAAACCCCAAAAAACATGTGTCACGGGGGTGGAAAAAAAGGTCAAAACAGGTTTTTCGTGAATAACTCGAAAACGAAAAGGGGTATCGAAACGGGGTTTGCGGGAGGTCGTAGAGCTAGTAGGGGCGCTCCTCTTGCAAAAAACGGCACTACGAATGGGCGTGGCACCTACGTCACAGTGACGTCAGAAGAGGCGATTTTGGCACTTTTTCGCCGATTTTCAAACAAACGGGGCAAAAAAGTGACAAGAGGTACAGACGGCCGAATAGGCTCAAACTGTGCCAAATTTAGTGGGGTAACTGAGAACCTTCGTTTGCACCAGGGTACCGCCTTTCTGTTCCGAGTTATTTGGCACAAACCGAGTGGCACTGGTGCCGAAAAGTGACAAAAACACACTTTGGACCGTAACTTTTGAACCACAAAAGTGACAGAACTGGGACGTGGCTCAAATGAAAGATCTCCGGGAGGTCCACGAGTGACCTGAGTTTGGGCGTGGTTGGGCGTGGTCGTGACGTCACAGAGGCAAGCGAAAGTGGGCCCTGTTTGGGACCTCGGCACAGAAAGACCAAATGTGGTACAGATGTGCAAACGGTGCCAAAGTGATCGCTATATGGTGGATTGAAAAGGGTGGAAACGGCGATTTGGTACCTTTTACGGTTGCGCCACTGTGTGCCAAAAACCAAAAAATAGGGTCAAAAACGGGGTGCCAAAAAGGTCTTTTGGCCATAACTTTTGAACCAGCGGGGGTACCACGACGCCCCTCACACCAAATGTTGCCCCTTTCAAGGGGCATCGTTGGGTGTGGTCGGTTTTGGATTTGGGCGTGGCTATGACGTCACAGCGACGTCGGAAAATTGAAAAAATTTTTGACTTTGAGGCCGAATAACTTTTTCTGTGTTTCAGTGTTGGGAAATCCAAACGTGCCAAAAAACTTTCCATCGAGTTGGCAATCCGGGCCTGTGGTGGAAAATCGATTGTCACATCTCCTTTGTGCCAAAAAGTGCCAAAAGTTAAAAGAGCCATAAAATTTTGGTTTTTTGCGAATAACTTTTTTCACAGACGTGGTACCCCCCCCAACATACCACCTAAATGGATAGAGGGCGTCGCGGCGCATCTTTTGATGGTATGGTTGTTCCAAAAAAAGTTGAAGATAATGTGCCATTTTGGCACAAAGTTTGAAAATGTGCCAATTTCACACGTTTTGGCCTATATCTCTAGTTATGTAGATGGTACCTCGGCTTGCAATAACTCATCTGGAAGGGCGTGACATGACGGTCAGTTTGATGTATTTGGTTTTGGATTTGGGCGTGGCTGTGACGTCATAGCTACGTCATAATGGTGAATTTAGGCCCATTTTCAAAAATTCGTTTCTTTTTTGTGAAACCAGTGTTAGTGTGGGTAATACGTGGAAAAGAAAGGTAAATTAGTGTTCTTTGATGGGGTGGAGTGTATTTTGCGGTACCTGTCTCAGTTTTTACAGAATTGGCACATTTGTAATGGCCGGTATTTGAAAAACGTTTAGGCCCATAACTTCTGTGAGACATGAGGTACCTCCGATGTTATTGCAGCAAACGAAAGATCTCGTCGATACGAATCGATTGGTGGTATTGGTTTTGGGGTTACACCTAGTAATGACGTCACTATGACCGGTTGAAATTTTGGCACTTTTCAGTACTGTATCCTATATAGCCACTATACAGTTCCTGTACAGTATATAGAGTATACAGTGCATTTCCTATAGGCTTTTCCTATACATTTAGGCCCATTGACTGTTTTGTTTACTTTAGCCTATTGTTTGGGCAAATAGCAGGTATTTTTATGGTTCGAGACAAACGGAAGTAAATTTCGATCCTTCTGCCTACTATTTGGAGTAAGAGGGTACATTTCCTATAGGGTTTTCCTATACATTTAGGCCCATTTGTTTACATTAGGCCCATTTTACTGGCAGATAGCAGGTTCTTCTAGGGTTCTCATTGCAACGCTGTATTTATAGATCCTACTTCCTGGATGGGGTAGGGGTCCACATTGGTTGTTGGAGGGGTGAATTAGGGGTAGGGGTGGGGGGAGGGGCTAATAGGGAGGGGGGAGAGGACTTTTTTGGAATATAATAAAAACTCTCTGATACCCGGTTTATAATAGGGTCCACTTCTCTTGTGACAGCACAAAGACAGTTGCGGGTTCACACCACTCCCTCCTCCCCCCACCCCCTTTTTTATACCCTAGGGAGGTTTTTTTGAGTAGTAGGGAGTGGTGTGTTGATTAAGCAGCTGTCTTTATATTCATGGCAGAAATTTTGGAAAAGTGTTTTTTGCGAATAACTTTTGAACGGCACGTGGGAATCGAAAAATTCCAAAAAAAAACAAAATAATGACAAAGGGTCCTAGTCGAATACGAAATCTGAGAGTTGGGGTAAAGGGGTAAGGCGGGGTAAACCCCAAAAAACACATGTCAGGGTATAGGGCAAAAAACGGCCAAAACAGGTTTTTCGTGAATAACTCGAAAACGAAAAGGGGTATCGAAACGGGGTTTGCGGGAGGTCGTAGAGCTAATGCGGGCGCTCCTCTTGCAAAAAACGGCACTCGGATTGGGCGTGGCACCTACGTCACAGTGACGTCAGAAGAGGCGATTTTGGCACTTTTTCGCCGATTTTCAAACTAACGGGGCAAAAAGGTGACAAGTGGTACAGACGGCCGAATAGGCTCAAACTGTGCCAAATTTAGTGGGGTAACTGAGAACCTTCGTTTGCACCAGGGTACCGCCTTTCTGTTCCGAGTTATTTGGCACAAACCGAGTGGCACTGGTGCCGAAAAGTGCCAAAAACACACTTTGGACCCTAACTTTTGAACCACAAAAGTGACAGAACTGGGACCTGGCTCAAACGAAAGATCTCCGGGAGGTCCACGAGTGACCTGAGTTTGGGCGTGGTTGGGCGTGGTCGTGACGTCACAGAGGCAAGCGAAAGTGGGCCCTGTTTGGGACCTCGGCACAGAGACACCAAAAGTGGTACAGACGTGGAAACGGTGCCAAAGTGATCGCTATATGGTGGATTGAAAAGGGTGGGAACGGCGACTTGGTACCTTTTACGGTTGCGCCACTGTGTGCCAAAAACCAAAAAATAGGGTCAAAAACGGGGTGCCAAAAAAGTCTTTTGGCCATAACTTTTGAACCAGCGGGGGTACAACGACGCCCCTCATACCAATTGTTGCCCCTTTCAAGGGGCATCTTTGGGTGTGGTCGGTTTTGGATTTGGGCGTGGCTATGACGTCACAGCGACGTCGGAAAATTGAAAAAAATTTTGACTTTGAGGCCGAATAACTTTTTCTGTGTCTCAGTGTTGGGAAATCCAAACGTGCCAAAAAACTTTCCATCGAGTTGGCAATCCGGGCCTGTGGTCGAAAATCGATTGTCACCTCTCCTTTGTGCCAAAAAGTGCCAAAAGTTAAAAGAGCCATAAAATTTTGGTTTTTTGCGAATAACTTTTTTCACAGACGTGGTACCCCCCCCAAGATACCACCTAAATGGATAGAGGGCGTCGCGGCGCATCTTTTGATGCTATGGTTGTTCCAAAAAAAGTTGAAAATAATGTGCCATTTTGTCCCAAATTTTGAAAATGTGCCAATTTCAGACGTTTTGGCCTATATCTCTGCGCAGGTATGAGGTACCTCAGCTTGCAATAACCCATGTTAATGGGCGTCGCCAGGCGGTCAGTTTGATGTATTTGGTTTTGGATTTGGGCGTGGCTGTGACGTCATAGGTACGTCAAAATGGCGAATTTAGGCCCATTTTCAAAAATTCGTTTCTCTTTTGTGGAACAAGTGTTAGTGTGGGTAATACGTGGAAAAGATAGGTAAATTAGTGTTCTTTGATGGGGTGGAGTGTAATTTACGGTACCTGTCACAGTTTTTACAGAATTGGCACATTTGTAATGGCCGGTAATTGAAAAACGTTTAGGCTCATAACTTCTGTGATACATGAGGTACCTCGGATGTTATTGCAGCAAACGAAAGATCTCGTCGATACGAATCGATTGGTGGTATTGGTTTTGGGGTTACACCTATTAATGACGTCACTATGACCGGCTGAAGTTTTGGCACTTTTCAGTACTGTATCCTATATAGCCACTATACAGTTCCTATACAGTATACAGTATAGACTCTATTTCCTATAGGCTTTTCCTATACATTTAGGCCCATTGACTGTTCTGTTTACTTTAGCCTATTGTTTGGGCAAATAGCAGGTATTTTTAGGGCTCGAAACAAACGGAAGTAAACTTCGATCCTTCTGCCTACTATTTGGAGTAAGAGGGTACATTTCCTAAAGGGTTTTCCTATACATTTAGGCCCATTTGTTTACATTAGGCCCATTTTACAGGCAGATAGCGGTTTCTTCTAGGGTTCTCATTGCAAGGGGGCATTCATTAATCCTACTTCCTGGTTGGGGTAGGGGTACACATTTGTTGTTGTAGGAGAGGGTAAGAGGTAGGGGAGGGGGGAGGGGTCAATAGGGAGGGGGGAATGGACTTTTTTTAAAATGTACTCAGAACTCTCTGATACACCGTTTTGAGGTAGGGGCCACTTCTCTTGTGACAGCACAAAGACAGTTGCGGGTTCACACCACTCCCCCCTCCCCCTGCCCCCTCTTTCTATTCCCCTGGGGGTTATATTACCACAGGGAGTAGAGTGGTGTGTTGATTAAGCTACTGTCTTTATATTCATGTGCGGATTTTTTGAAAAGTGTTTTTTGCGAATAACTTTTGAACGGCACGTGGGAATCGAAAAATTCTTCTTTTAGAAGGCGTATCTGTAAAGGGTCCTAGTCGAATACGAAATCTGGGAGTTGGGGTAACGGGGTAAGGTGGGGTAAACCCCAAAAAACATGTGTCACGGGGGTGGAAAAAAACGGCCAAAAACAGGTTTTTCGTGAATAACTCGAAAACGAAGAGGGGTATCGAAACGGGGTTTGCGGGAGGTCCTAGAGCTAGTGGGGGCGC